CAAGTCAACTCCTCATGGTTAGTGATCAGCTTGTGGTGGAGGATGTGATCATGACAGTATATAGAGGCTATGATAAAAATGTGATACAGCCAGCCATTAGCCTACTGAGAAAAGGTCTCAGCCAGAGGATTTAAAAGCATAAGTGTGCTCACAAGTGCCAGTTTAGCAGCACAATCTTAAAATAAATAAATAACACAAAAAAAAATGTATGCACGCATGACTGTAAGTCGCTTTGGATAAAAGCGTCTGCTAAATGGCATATTATTATTTATTATTACAAGTTGGCTTGATTGACTTGTGTCAGAAGAATAGCAACTTTTGTGTTTCCTATTTTTTAAGGGCCAATGACTATCACAGCTATTTATCAGCAAATCTAATTAAATAGTCAAACTATACAGGATTTCGTGATAAGAGTGGCGGTCTCTGGAGTGAACACTGTCTGCTCGCTTGTTTGGTTGAAGTTCTTTGTTCACATCAGATGTGTATGAGAACAAGCCAATGAAGAGGGTGACATGCAGTGGTGGAAAAGGGAATTTTCAAGGATGTTTTACTACTGTTCTCTCTCCTGTCAACCAAGGATGATTTCAACTCCTCCCTCGAAGCAGGATCATAATTCATTAGGCACCAAACAGAAGAAAACAGACTGAAACCAGGAGGTATCTACCTGAACTTGTCCAATAAGAATCACTTGTTTTTTATTTTCTGTTGCGAAACATTTTTGAAACGTTTCGCACTAGTGAATACAACGCCTCATTACCAGGACAGTTAGACTGAGACAACAACCTCGGCCTCTACACCTCAGAGGTTTGGACAAATCAGTCTGCCTGATTATTTTTCTGAAAAACATTGAGTGGAATTAAATAGGATCTGAACTGTGTAGCTTAAAAACATGACTGACACATACTAGTTGCTATGATGTCAAAACAATGGTCATGAAGGTGAAAATAGCACATCCCAATGGTCTCAAGCACAGCCAACTAGTTTTTAAAAGATATTGAAAAGGATTGAGGTTAATTCCATTTAAATTCAGGCATTTCAGGAATGGGATTGGTCAACATACTGTTGATAATCGGTCATGTCTAGATAACACACACACACACATACACAGACACACACACATACACACTATATATATGCTGCTGCTACTGTGTATTATCTATCCTGTTGCCTAGTTACCCATATCTATATGTACATAGCTACCTCAATTACCTCGTACCCCTGCACATCGACTCGGTATTGGTGCTCCCTGTATATAGCCATTTTATTTTTTACTCATTATTGTTATTTGTTATTCACTGTGTATTTGTTCCTAGCTCACTTTTTCAACTTTTTTCTATCTTTATCTTTAACTCTGCATGGTTGGAAAAGGACTTGTAAGTAAGCATTTCACTTTTCATCTACACCTATTGTTTACGAAGCATGTGACAAATAACATTTTATTTTATTTGGATTTGGGGTACAGATTTTGCCCAATTGACGTCAAAAGTAGATTATTTTGGCTTTTAGCTAACCCTAACCCTTTTCCTAACCTTAACCAAATCTGTTACGTTAATTCTCCTAACCTGCTGCGTAAATTCTCCTAAACCTGCTACGAAAAGTCAATTTTGACAAAAGCTGCATCCCTTTTAGACAAAACTATGGAAGCCCATTCCGCCACTCAAGGACCATGGTTGGGAAACACTGCTCTAAAGTATATGTATTGATTTCATATTTTTTTACTCAACAGAACAAAAGTGCCTTTCTTTGTGGAGTTATGAAGACATAAAGACAGAGGGAGAAACAGGGGACCAAAGTCTCAGACTCCAACAAAGGACCAGATGAGGCCAAAGTACGGTTTTAACAAACATTCTTGATATAAGCGATCGTAGAGATTTATAAAAGTATCATGCTTTTATAATGTGCAGTTGTTCTCTGGAAGGTGTTTGATACGTGAGTCAAGATTTCGAGATACTATCTCAAAACGTTGAGATACTAAATTGAAATTTCGAGATCGTAGAACAGGGGTATTCAACTCTTACACTACCAGGGCCGGAGCCTGCTGTTTTTCTGTTTTACCTGATAATGAATTTCACCCACCTGTTGTCCCAGGTCTAAATCAGTCCCTGATTAGTGGGGTACAATGAAAAAAACCCAGTGGAACTGGTTTCGAGGTCCAGAGTTGAATTTGATGGTGGTAGAGCATACTTATAGGATATGTTTCTTCATTTGTAACATTGTGTGATTTCAGAGCTGGCACCACAGGTCCAAGATGTGGTGGGGTGGGGGAGGGGAGGCGGTATTTCAATAAACAGTCAGGATACATCATCTCACATTTCATAGTTCCCTGCAATATGTGTTGTGCAGACAGGGGGGTTCCTGGGGCCCAGAGTTTTTCCTGATCTGGTAGGCTAACCCAGTGGTTCTCAAACCTCTCCAGTCAATACTTTTGGATTGATAAGGTCTAGGTAGCCTAGCCACCCTAAGTTTGAATATAAACCAAATTTGATCACATTCACATTTTCTCTTAACACAAATAAATAGGCCGATTTTAGGCTATAAATACATCGTTTGGGCTATGAATACATGACGTTCCCGCTTTGTTTACCCTGGCCAGAGGCAATCAGAGCGCACCTGCAGCTTTGGTTGTTCTCAGTAGGCTACAGTTGATCAGACTGAAGCACAGATTAATTGTGCACGAGTTGACAAATCATTAGGCAAATCAGTCTAAACAACAGTACTTTGTCCCTATATTCAACGCTTGTCAATATTCTTTATTAAACCGAATCAAAAGTGTTGGGGCAAATGCCAGCTTGTTTGCTGGCAGCCTTGCTGTGCTGACCTCTGCAACATGGATAGATGGTAATCGCCACATAATGCTACTTATTTAAAAAACTATCTCTAAATGTTAAGTTAGTATCTCGACATTTTGGCTTAGTATATCGAAATGTTTAGATAGTAGCTATCGACGTAAAAATAAATCGTGGCGGGAAAGGCCTTCCATACAAAACCTTGATAATCTGCCACTACTGTAAAGGCAAGCCCGTGCATGGGTGTCTAAGAAACCCCATCGATGAGACAAAACTCGCGGCGTGAACGGGTCGTCACTAGTTACCACTGCCACAAAGTCATAAACCCCGCCTATTTCTACAATTTATCTTCTTAAAATGTTATTTTAAACCTAAACGTAACCACACTACTAATCGGATGCCTAACCCTAACCTTAAATTAAGACCAAAAAGCAAAAATATGTTTTCATTAATGTTCACGATAGGCAATTTTGTGACTTTGTAGCTGTGGTAACTAGTGGAAACCGCATGAACGTGGCAGCCATTTTACATCCTCAAGAGTGAATGAGTGGAGCCGGACCAGTGCCGGGAGTTTTACACTTTTTCCTCTTTTAATTCTCACATTTTCCTTCCGAAATAATCAACACCATACAAGTTGGTGATCCATCGGCAGGTATGATGAATACTACTAACTGGTCACGTGATCATAGTACAATGTATAGCTAAAGTGTGTGAGCTTGTGGTGTTTCAAACAATGTGGAAACTGGTGGTTGGGACGGGTTCTCCAGACCGGCTTTTTGAAAATGGACTCTCCCTATGTGGCGGCACGTTGACAAACCACGAAGCTAGCTAGTTAGCATACTACAAGAAGGCCTGTGTTCAACCAAAGATACTGGTAACATCAACCTATGAAATTCGAGCCAAATTATGTCAACCAGCAAGCTACATATGAGCTATCATTGTTTTAATGATGATGTCGCTAGTTAGCGAATTTAGCCAAGTGAGCTAATTCTGACAGATCAGGAATGACACATGTTCATTGTCACGGGCTAGCTAGCTAACCCAGCCAGCTAAGGAGCGATCAGCAGCGCGTGAACGTGTAAACTTCAAGAGTATTGCCTTTTGCCAGAGTTTTGACGCAACTCGTGAGCTAACGTAGTTATTTAGCTAACCAACGCTTGTTAATAAAACATGTATCATTCCGTTAACGTAGCACACTGGCATGCACAGCTAGTAAGGTTTGTTATTGCGACTTGACAGTGGGAGGACTATAATTACCTAACGAGTAACGCATGCTATTATTTGGCTAACGTTGAGTAGTTGGGCTATATATATGGATAACGCAGCTAGCTAGATGACGTTGGCTAACGTTAGGCCACAACACTAACTATGAGTATGTGGTTGATATAGGTAAGTAGTTAGCAACTCAGCTTTCATATCTAACTAATCAATTAAGCTAACTTGCTATGTTGGTTTTCAAGTTTTGCTTGAATTGGCTATTTTCGGTAGTTAGCAAACGTTCACGTTAGTTGGCTGCAATGAAGACTTGACGTGATGAAATAATGGGAGTTCAATTTGACTGCTACATTTACGCTCGCTAAGTTGGCTTACTAGTTAATACAGTATCACTGTCTTGAGACAACGTATCAAACGTTTGTTATAACCATTGTTAGATGTAGGAGTTAGTCGACCACGTAGTTTGCTCCTGTACACATGCTTACTGACCGGCTTGCTAGCTACCGGAAACTGGTGGTAGTTACACTCTGCCGAAGGAACACGTGTATCAACTATCTAGTTAGTTGGTGCTGAAGTCAGCAATCAGGAGGCTAATTTATAATTTAGCAGTCAGGCCAAGCCCTTTGTACATGTTAGCTAGCGTGTTGTGCAAAGGTGTTCTTCCAACCCAGACAAAGGCGGGAAATGTGTAATCGCGTGTACACATTTTACCATGTAGCCTAGCTAACTGTCCTCACAAGTTGCACATGTATACGAAATGTTTTGGTATGCAGTTATCATTAAAACGCATTGGTATTTATAAGTGTCAGCATTATCAAAATTGATACAGACATGCAAATTCAAATATTGTAATTAAAATGTGACATGATTAAACTGTAAGGGACCACATGGACCCACGTGTGTGCCTGTTGCACATGACACCCCCCAAAAGCTCTCAACAGCCTTGCACTTGATCCAGCATTAATTTGGCTCATTGCATTTGCACAGATTTCTGGAGACATGGCCACAGAACATATTAATGGAAATGGTCCAGAAGAACCAATGGATACCACTGCTGCAGTTACCCATTCTGAAAACTTCCAGACTTTATTAGAAGCTGGTTTACCACAGAAAGTTGCTGAAAAACTAGATGAAATTTACATAGCAGGTAAGGCACATTGAATATCCAGCATATTTGTACACACAATTTTAATTTTTGCTATTGCATGTGCTGTCATGTATTACATTACCTTTGAATGTGGGAATTGGGATCATCAAGCAACTTTTTGTGGTTTCCTACCAAAATGGGTACTGCAGTGTTATGGGGGGGGGGATAGAGAATTCAGACACCACCAATATTGGTGTGAAATAAATGTAATGTCTACATTTCCATTGTCTTAGAGGTACATCTGGGCTGAGACCACTGGCGACAGGGCCAGTGTTGTGTTCTTAAGAATTCAAGTGTAGCAGCACAGATGAGCGGAGAGTTAGGCCGCAGTTCAGCGGAGGTCTCTCTGTACAGTCTCAGGCAGAGAATGCAGCCAGATGGGCACATGCAGGAACAATGGCAGCAGCTGTCGGTGGCTGGGACAGGTGATGGGTCTTCCAAGAGCAGAATGTGGACAAGCTCATTAGGAGCACACCGTGCAGAGGACTGCCATATCAAGTTACATCACATCTGTTGTGATTAGTTCTGCAAAGGTTGAAGAAGGTGCTGTTACTCAATGCACTTTGTCAATTTTAAAATATTGGTCTCAGAGACGTTTTCTCTTATCTGAAGTATGATTGCAGTATTCCAATTTCAGAGATCCCCCAATGAAGTTATCGCCACAAAAATAAGAGAACTTTGATACCTCAACATGCGTTGTGGCTTGATCCGTTTGAGAAGATATCATCCTGTAGTTCTGTTCCTGCTAATAACAGATGTTTTCTCGTGTCCCTCCTAGTAACGGATGTTTTCTGGTGACCCTCCTCAGGTTTAGTATCTCACAGTGACTTAGATGATAGAGCGATCGAGGCTCTGAAAGAGTTCAACGAAGAAGGTGCTCTGCAAGTTCTGTTGCAGTTCAAGGACAGCGACCTCTCGCATGTCCAGGTATGTATGGAGGGGGCGGTGTAGTAGAAGTTGGGTCAACGGCATGATTAGTATGACTAAAATGTAAATGATTAGACCGCATTGTGTGATGTGTCTTTAAATGAAATGCTACCATTTCACCCTCTAAAGCAGTGTTTCCCAACCCTGGTTCTTGAGTATCCCCAACGGTACACATTATTATTGTAACCCTGAAGTAGCACACCTCATTCAACTTGTCAGCTAATCATCAAGCCCTCAATGAGTTGAATGAGATGTTTGTACAGGGCTACAACAAAAATGTGTATTGTTGGGGGTACTGGAGGACCAGGGTTGGGAAGCACTGCTCTAAAGTATATGTATTGATTTCATTTTTTTCTTACTCAACAGAACAAAAGTGCCTTTCTTTGTGGAGTTATGAAGACATACAGACAGAGGGAGAAACAGGGGACCAAAGTCTCAGACTCCAACAAAGGACCAGATGAGGCCAAAATCAAAGTACGGCTTTAACAAACATTCTTGATATAAGTGATCGTAGAGATTTATAAAAGTATCATGCTTTTATAATGTGCAGTTGTTCTCTGGAAGGTGTTTGACCTGAATTCTGTTATTTAAATGAACAGGCCCTACTGGAGAGAACTGGCTACACGCTTGACGTGACAACAGGTCAGCGGAAGTATGGAGGCCCCCCTCCGGAGTCGGCTCACTCAGGGGCGCAGCCCACGATCGGTACAGAGGTATGTCTCTACAATAATTCAATGGTGTGTTTGATTAGTGTGTAATAGTTTTCCTCAGTGCGTGATGGTGTTTCTGCATTCTGTGTCCAAATGATGAAATCATGTACTTTTTCCTAGAGTGACTTCGGTTACACTGATGGTTTACCGCTAAGATCTGACTGGACACGTGTTAATTCTGTATTTTGGAGATTTATTTTGTAACAATGTTCCTTTCACACCAAGATAACCTCCATTTTGCTTTCATCTTAGATTTTTGTTGGCAAGATCCCCAGAGATCTATTTGAGGATGAGCTGGTCCCTCTGTTTGAGAAAGCTGGGCCCATTTGGGACCTGCGTCTGATGATGGACCCCCTCAGTGGCCTCAACAGAGGTTACGCCTTTGTCACTTTCTGCACTAAAGAGGCGGCGCAGGAGGCTGTCAAGCTGGTATGTACCACTTGTGGTAAACTTCTCTCCTGACAGAACAATAGGAATGGATAATTTAGCCTGCCTAACCATGACATGTCATGAACTCTGTTACCCGCTCCCCTCTCTCCACAGTGTAACAACAATGAAATTAGACCCGGCAAACACATTGGCGTGTGCATCTCCGTGGCCAATAATAGACTGTTCGTTGGTTCCATCCCCAAGAGTAAAACAAAAGATCAGATTGTGGAAGAGTTTGCTAAAGTCACAGGTAAGGTTGAACGATCCTCTGGGACAAATTGACATTTTGATGGGCCAGTCATATTCTGTCTTGACAGAGATTTATGTTCTGTCTTTGCAAAAGTGATCGTTTCCTTGGCTTGGCAGTAATTTTGACAACAGTGTGTAAACGTTGCTGTACTATTACTGAATGCAATAGTGCAGGGCTGCCCAATCCTGGTGCTGGAGGGCTGAAACACTTCTGTTTTTCGTCTCTACCTGGTAGTTAATTGCACTCACCTGGTGTCCCAGGTCTGAATCTGTCCCTGATTAGAAGGACAGGATGAAAAACAGTGTTTCGGCCCTCCCAGACCAGGATTGGCAACCCTGCACTACTAGTGTTCGATTGCATTTAGTCTGAGTTAAGGCTTATGTAAGGTATGCTTTTGTCATTTAATAGTTAATTCCCAATGTGAGGGTTCAGTGTCCAAATGATGAAATACATAAATTCTATCCTGGAGTAACTCTGGTTACGCTGATAGTTTACCGCTAAGATCTGACTGGACACTTAACTGGGCACAAATCAATGGTCTCTGGAGACTGATGTCCAAAGAGAAACAGCTGTGTCAAATAAAGGAGACACTAAATGTTTTGAGTAAACCGAAGGGAACATTCCTTGATTGCATAAAATCTTGAATGTGAAATATTTTGTTCTGGTGCCAACTATGTTATCTGCATTTCAGTAAGGTAATCAAGAGTTCCATTCTTTTTAACTTCACGTTGCATATGGATCTAGAGCGAGCTGTCTAGTGCACTGCTCACTGTTCAGCCAGGATACCCTTTATGCCGTTCTCCTTCTGCCCCTCTTTCAACAGAGGGTCTTAACGATGTCATACTGTACCATCAGCCAGATGACAAGAAAAAGAACAGAGGCTTTTGCTTCTTGGAATACGAAGACCACAAAACTGCGGCTCAGGCCCGCCGCAGGCTGATGAGTGGCAAGGTCAAGGTGTGGGGGAACGTGGTGACGGTGGAGTGGGCCGACCCCATAGAAGATCCTGATCCTGAAGTCATGGCCAAGGTATGGGGAGCAAAGTTAACGGGACACATTTTGCATGTGAATAAATTGTGATTTGGTCTTTGTTCTGTCTATCCATAAACTTGTAGAATAACACTGATTTGTGTTGGAGGCTGTTCACCAGGGAGTAAGAATAGAGGTAATCACCAGTGTCTGAGGGAGCCAGAAACAGAGATTTGTGGGATTGATAACCCGCCACTACTTTTCCCCTCCCAGGTGAAAGTGCTGTTTGTCCGGAACCTTGCAAGTACTGTAACGGAGGAAATACTTGAAAAGGCCTTCAGTCAGTTTGGCAAGTTGGAGCGGGTGAAGAAGCTGAAAGACTATGCCTTTATCCACTTTGAGGAGAGAGACGGAGCAGTCAAGGTACAGGCTGGAATCTTTATATTTCTCTAACGAGAGTATCACAAAATTGTGGTAACAATGGTCAATTTTTGTGTAGTTATTAAACTTGCCTCTTTTGACAGGCCTTGGCCGACCTGAATGGGAAAGACCTGGAGGGAGAGCACATTGAAATAGTCTTTGCCAAGCCACCTGATCAGAAGAGGAAAGAACGCAAAGCACAGAGGCAAGCGGCTAAAACACAAATGTAAGCAGACAATTGATATGCAGTTATTTGAGACCTTCATTATAGTTGCATTGTTGGGTGGCCTTTCATCATTGAGTTCTCTTGAATGATTGAACAGAGAAGTTAAAAACATGATATAACTAGAGCAAATTATCACGTGTCCTGTATGGTTACTAAACAAGTGCATATCCTCTGGCCTACCCATTATCCCCAGGTATGATGATTACTATTACTACGGCCCACCCCAGATGCCACCTCCCACAAGAGGCAGAGGACGAGGTGGTGGCCGTGGAGGCTATTCCTACCCCCCTGACTACTACGGCTATGAGGATTACTACGATTACTATGGCTACGACTACCACAACTACCGGGGCGGCTATGAGGATCCCTACTACGGCTATGAGGACTTCCAATCTCCCGGCCGAGGACGAGCCAGAGGCGGAGCCCGTGGTGGTGCCCTATCCTCCCGGGGCCGTGGAGCGGTCACGCCCAGGGGCAGACTAGGGGGTTTCTCCCAGCGAGGAGGAAGTGGCCCTGGATCAAGCAGAGGTGTGTAGGGGACCAAAGGGGCACTGGGTAAATAGGAACTAGCTGTGTAAGCAATGGTCAAAGCAAATGTCAGCTATACATTAAATGCAAACATATACTATTTGGACAGGTCTTTTCCCCCTTACTTGAATAATCTTTTTAAACAAATATTATTATTTTTAACCTGCATTTATGGCTACCTTATTTGGCATAAATTGACCCAAGTCCTGCATCCACCTTTTTTATAATATAAAGGCCCTAGAAAGTAAGGAATCGGTCATACAGATGGCCCCATTTTATTTTTACTTTTGAAAGCTGGGCTGATGTCCCTCATACATTGAACTGGTAATTTTTTTATGTAAGCAAATGTATTTAGCTTTGTGTCCAAATGATGAAATACATATATTCTATCCTGGAGTAACCCTGGTTACGCTGATAGTTTACCGCTAAGATCTGACTGGACATTTTAGGTTATTATATACATGACTTTATACTTCCATAAATTTGTGTCCAGTGATGGGAAAGTATGCTTATTCTCAACATTTGAAATGACAACTGCCTTTTAGCCTCAAGTCCTTGACCGGGGTCACCTTTCAGAGCACCAACTCTGAAAGGTCTGCTCCTCTGCAGATTTAGATTAGCATATATGTAGATTTAGATCTGCATATATGATATTAGGATCACCCTAAACTAGTTTTGTATCATGTTACATGATTGAATGTCATTAGTGATGTTTATATTCTGTCTCTGTTGCTGTTTTTGTTTTTGAATTCCATTCTAATTCTGTCTCTGTTGCTTGGCCAACAGGGAAAAGGGCTCGAGGCCGGTCCTGACCTGTCACTATGAAGACTGACCTACTGTGTTGGGTTACACCGGAAGCGGCAACGGATACAGATGGAAAAGTCAGCGAAATGGTCCAATATTCCAGCCTTACAGAAGCATCTCCCCCAAACTGCCACCTAAACAATCACCAGATTATTTAGATAAACTCGTCACCCCTGTATGCCCCCCCCCTCCCCCTTACACCCAGTGTATTCCCCCCCCCCCCCCCCCCAATGCCATTTTAGATAATTATTGAAGAATTTGCACTTTTTAAGTTTGTTAGTTTGAAGTGGCTCAAAGGAGCTTGATGCTATTGTATATTTTTGTGCTAATCGCAATTTTTATTGTCGGAATATCCATGTTAATCTTAATCGTTTGATTTGGATGTTTGAAGAGAACATCTGCAGGTTTTGGGTGTAACCACCAGGCATGGATAAGTCAGGCATTCCAGGAAAGTGGTTCTTTTCAGAACTTGTCTTTAAAGGGTTGGTTAACTACCTCAGTACAGAGGATTAAACTACCCTGCCTGTACTGTAAATAGGGAAACTATATTGATGAAAGCAGGGCTTGTTTCCTACAAAATATGCACAAGAGCAGCAGAACAACCGGAAGTACTTAATGTAATATAGTAATTTTGTTGCATTTCTGACACTGCAAACAGTCAAACTGGCCATGCAAAATAATCGCATATGATGAGTCTGAACAAGCCCTGCTTTTATCCTATTTTCAACTGAATTAGCCACCTTGCTTCTTCAGATTATTGTAGTGACTGGTTGTATAGTTTGGAAAATGTTACTTTTGTAAAGGCTTGAACATCAACAAAGGCATCAACTGCCTTTGAAAAAGCCCTGCAGTGTCCCTTTGCCACACCAATGGATTTTTAAAAAGAATGGAACATAATTATGTTCAGTACCACCCCCCCCCCCCCCCCCTTAGTGTAAAAGAAATGTCCCAATCATGTGAAATCTTGAATGGTCCCTCTAACTCTAAGCCAGCTACTATTTAGTCAAGCCTCTTGATTGAAATGAGTTGCCATAATGCCCAGCCAGCGAGCATGTGTGCCTGTAGCTGTTTCGAGGGGGGGAGGGATCGTGGTCTTAGTGGTTAAAGGGATACTAAAGCTATGATTTGTATTCCATGTATAGCAAAAAGGATACCGAACTATTCATCCGGTTTTGTACACAGTTTACTCCCTCTCAATAAAATCATTACAACCACCTTTTGAAAAGATGTTAGCCGTTTTAAACCATTGTTGGTGGCCAACAACGTTTTTTGCATTCCTGCAAATAAATTGTTTTATACTGTAAAATGGAGGTGAGTGTAACTTATTTTTGTAATAAAGTTTTTGATTTCTATCTGTCTTACTCTCTGTATGACTTCCTGTTGAACCATCTCACAAAGTTATGCACTGATTATAGCATTGAATTGTAACATGATATCCTTTCTGATTCACACCACACACAGTAAGCGCAACTTTCTCAATCCCAGGGAGTCTTCAACCAGAGGTGCATGTGTACTGTCCTGTGATTTCAATTGAATCATAACGTTCATCAGTACTTGGCATTGACTCACATTGCTTTTGTCGTCAGCCTGCTACAACATGAAATGAGCATTGTAGAGATATGATTTTCTTTTGGAATACTGTGTGTCTTCATCGTTATGATGGCAGGGCAGGTGATATCTACATATAGGCTATAAAAAATAAAATAACAGGCAACAATGTTGCATGATCCCATAATGAACCGGATGTGACAAGCCTGACGAAGACAGACCGTCCCGTTATGTCAATGATGAAAACATGCAGGTTGGGTGTATGATTGATATTCATAAATATAAAGACAGTGAATGCATGGGAAGCCATTGTCAATGCAACCAAGTCTTCATTAAGACATTTAAGCATGTTAACCCCCGCGAGGCTGCCGGCCCAGACGGCATCCCTAGCTGCGTCCTCAGAGCATGTGCAGACCAGCTGGCTAGTGTGTTTACGGGACATATTCAATCTCCCTTTCCCAGTCTGCTGTTCCCACATGCTTCAGGATGACCACCATTGTTCCACACTGCCCTATCCCATCTGGACAAGAGGAATACCTATGTAAGAATGCTGTTAATTGACTATAGCTCAGCATTCAACACCATAGTACCCTCCAAGCTCATCATTAAGCTCGAGGCCCTGGGTCTGAACCCCGCCCTGTGCAACTGGGTCCTGGACTTCCTGACGGGCCGCCCCCAGGTGGTGAAGGTAGGAAACAACATCTCCACTTCGCTGATCCTCAACACTGGGGCCCCACAAGGGTGCGTGCTCAGCCCCCTCCTGTACTCCCTGTTCACCCATGACTGCGTGGCCAAGCACGCCTCCAACTCAATCATCAAGTTTGCAGACGACACAACAGTAGTAGGCTTGATTACCAACAATGACGAGATCGCCTACAGGGAGGAGGTGAGGGCTCTGTGAGTGTGGTGCCAGGAAAATAACCTCTCACTTAACGTCAACAAAACAAAGGAGATGATCGTGGACTTCAGGAAACAGCAGAGGGTGCACCCCCCTATCCAAATCGACAGGACCGCAGTGGAGAAGGTGGAAAGCTACAAGTTCCTTGGCGTACACATCACTGACAAACTGAAATGGTATATATTCTTAAATTCCATTCCTTACTAGATTTGTGTGTATTGGGTATATGTTGTGAAATTGTTAGGTATTACTTATTAGATATTACTGCACTGTCGGAGCTAGAAGCACAAGCATTTCGCTACACACGCAATAACATCTGCTAAACACCTGTATGTGACAAATATTTTGATTTGATTTATTTCTGCTAAGGGACAGATTTAAATGTAATATAGGGGGAGGGGTGTCAAAAAATGTTTTGCTTTGGGGAGGGTTGTCTTTTTTTGGGGTGGCAAAGGGGAGGGTTGTCTTTTTTTGGGGTGGCAGAGGGGAGGGTCGTGCGTTTTCCCCCTGGTTTAAATTTCACTCCTCTGCTCATATTTTCCCTTTAAACAATGGCTTCACTTACTTTTGATATTACCCTAATGAAGTTTAGAAACGTTTGTGAAGGTTTGGTGTGGTGTGGCTGTTTTTAAGCTCTCCAACTGACTCCGACAGTTGAACTTGAGGTGAGGAAGACTGTTGCAGGCCTGACAGAGTTACTCCTATAATCTAACAATATAATGCTTATCTTTATACAAAATATTCGGATCAAAAGTTAACGAATTACCCTCCTTCTGTATGTCTATATCTGACAAGAAATGCATGTCGGTGTTGTAGCATGCCACTGGCGTATCTATATCTCTCTGGGGTTAGGCCTAAGCTTCTCTTCCTTATATATATATATTAAAATATTAATATCATACAGTGGACACCTAAGCCTGATACATTTAGTGCTTAAATCTCTGACCGCTGAACCGTGAGGTGGACAATTATTGTTTTAGGAAAATAGCCTAAACCCCCCCCCCTCCCCCCCCAAAAAAATAGGCTATAAAGTTTTGCATATGCTACACATTGAAACACAAGAAAAAGCGTTTTTGTAATTTGTTATAGGCTGTTTTTAAGGACACGTAAATGTGGCTCATTTGGCCAACATCCCGCGTTTATTGATGGTGCTGGCTGTGCCAGGTTGGATCTGTATGCATATGGATGTCCGTAGAATTTCTCAAATGTCCGGTAAATTAAAATCTTCCCTGTCATGTTGTCTGGTGCCAAATTTTCCTAAAGGAAACTCTGAAATGGCATATCGTTTTAGAATATTCACATGAAAATCTGTCGCCATTTGGATGGAAACCTAGACACCCTAAAGACTGGCAAGTGCGCTAGTCCAGTGTCACTTTGATTATGCCTGCACATTATGGTTCACCAGCAGCCCCAAACATCTAAAGAATAAGCTACCAGCCAAACAAGGTTGGAAGAATTGTACTTAAACTCCCCCCTCGTACTCATCTGGAGGTTGAGCATTTTTTCCTCTCTATCTCTGTAATGTGTCTGTATCTATGTAATTGTATACTGAACAAAAATATAAATGCAACATGTAAAGTGTTGGTCCTATGTTTCATGAGCTGAAATAAAAGATCCCAGAAATGTTCCATATGAACAAAAAACGTATTTGTAAAAAATTGTTGTGCACAAATTTGTTTACATCCTTGTTAGTGAGCATTTTCTCCTTTGCCAAGATAATCCATCCACCTGCAACAGGTGTGGCATATCACGAAGTTG